TCAACGAGTGGAAAATAGAGGGACTTACGTCATTTTTACTTTCAAAAAAGCGTCTAAGTTGCATGATATAGTTCGTTGCTTCGGCCGCACTTGGAACGTTCATTTCCCCGGCAACTGATGACTCGTCTTCATCACCCGATGCCTCGTTGCCGTCTTGTTTTTCAATGTTGTGGTTGAGCACTTCAGCGATGATATCTGCGTCGGTTATCTCACCACATACTGCAACATCGTCATCCACGTTTAAGAAATCGTCATACGAGATGGTAGGATTAGAAATGACGTCCTCCCAGCCGTCAACTGAAGGCATCGTTTCCGCTATAATATCATCTGCATTTTCTTCATCCTCCTCCTTTTTTACGAAACCAGCTTTTTTAAAACAGTGTTTGATCGTTTCGGACGTTACTTGGCCCCAATCTTTCTTACACAATCGAGAGGCTTGAAGAACGTCTAGTTTGATTTTAAGGGCTTCGGAATCTCCTGTCAATATGTTCTCAACTAGAAACCGTCTGTAAAAATGCTTAAGATTTTTGATGACTCCCTTGTCCATGGGCTGGATAACCGAAGTCATGTTGGCAGGAAAAAAAATACTTCCACATTTTCCATTGGAGGGATTGAGTTGTGTGCAGTACAGTTATCGATAAATAAAATAACTTTTCGTTTTTCTTTGTGAACTTTTTGTCCAAGTTCAACAGCCACTTCTCAAAAAGATAACTAGTCATCCAAGCTCTTGCGCTGTTTGCATAGTCCACTGGCTTCGTTTTGACGTTCTTGAAACAACGTGGATTGGCTGCCTTGCCTATCATCAATAGAGGAAGCTTTTCAGATCCATCCATATTTGCACCAACCAGGAGAGTGACTCTCTCTTTGCTTAGTTTTCCCCCGTGACATTTTTCATGCTTAAAAGCTAGCGTTTTGTCAGGGGTGCATTTAAAAAAAAAGACCCGTTTCATCAACATTGAAGACGTCTCTAGCGTCTTTATCCTGGATCAATTCCCGTAAATTATTTTTCCATTGTTCGGCTACTTGTAGATTAACGGCCCCACTTTCTCCACAAATGGTTTTGAACGAAATTTTGTTGCGTTCTTTGTCTTTCCTAATTTTCCACGTGGCAATATCTTGCCGCAAGAGAAGTACTATATATAATAAATTTATTTTTATTGGATTTTTGAGACTCCTTATTTATCAAGAAAGCTAAAAGGAGCGAATATGTCGGCGCTTCGAACATACAAAACTTTGACGTTTCACTTTCTCCACAAATGGTTTTGAACGAAATTTTGTTGCGTTCTTTGAAGCCATCTAGCCACCCAGAACTCGCCTTAAAATCGGTTTTCCCCATTTCAGTAGCAAATTGTTCAGCTTTGCTTCTTATAAGGTGACCACTCACGGGAATCTTCTTATCTCTTGCTTGCTTGAACCATTTTAAAACACATTTGTCCAAATCAGGATTTCCCGGCTCCCTTAACCTTTTTCGGCCTTTATCACACTCACTTTCACTCCTGAGAATTTTTTCTTTATTTTCTAAGTACGTCGACAACGTGTTTCGAGGAATCCCAAAGTCCTTAGCAATATCGGATTTTTTTTCATCCCCATCTCTACTTCTTTAATCGCCGCTATTTTTTCAGCCAACGTCAAAGTTTTGTATGTTCGAAGCGCCGACATATTCGCTCCTTTTAGCTTTCTTGATAAATAAGGAGTCTCAAAAATCCAATAAAAATAAATTTATTATATATAGTACTTCTCTTGCGGCAAGATATTGCCACGTGGAAAATTAGGAAAGACAAACTTCGGCGTGACACAGCAATTTATTTAAGGCAAGGACAAACTATAATTGATAAAATAAAAGATAAGCAATGAGGGAAGTTTACAGAGTAGCAAAATATAAACATAAAAATTGATAACTCTGTTAAGAAAATAATTAATAATAATAAAATAACAAATTCGTTGTTACAATATTACAACGTCATTTCGCAAAATTTCACGCCTTGAACCGGCATCAGGTCCTTATTTTAACTCGTAAAAGTTCGAATTATCCAAGACATAATTCGAATTAACCACGATTTTTTTAACATTATTTATATAGGAAATTCTAGGGACCAAGATAAATATTCGAATTAAAGAGGTTTTCGAATTAAAGAAGTTCGAATTATCCAAGTTCTACTGTATATCCCTCCTGTTGCAACCTTCTGTTGTACAATAATGTATATGTAAATATATTATTTTTCCTCTAAATTGAATTAGAAAAATGTAAAATCATACTGCATTTTAAGATTATGAATACATTTTTCTGAATAGGTTTTTCACCGAAAGGATAAAATATTGTAAACACACACCTCATTTTTACGCACAAAAATATTTTATTTATTTAAAAATACCTCTTTAAAATTAAATGAATGAATATATCTTCATTATAATTTTGTAATACTCTTTATATTTTTGTTTCAGCGCATCAGAAGGTGAATTATTGCAATAAGAAAACTTCAAAATGAGGATATTTACAAAGACAAGCAATAAAACATGAGTTATATATCCAATTCTGATAGCCTCAAATTGTGTCAAATGTTTATTCCCTAAAATAAACGGTTTTTAACTTGACTGTAAAATAATCTTGATTACTCACACATACACACATATAGAATATATATTACAAAGCTGATAGTCAAAAAATATATGTATATGATTTTATCTTAGACACCATAAAATAGGTGTAAAAGAGAATATATATAAACTTTGTGTGTATGTATATTTTGTTGTAGTATTATTTTTTTATTGATATTACTATTTTATATATAAAGTATACCTTTGTGTGAAGATATATATACGTATACAAAAAAAGAAACTAAATAAGAAATGACAGCTTATCCAAATCATCACTGGTACAAACCATTGAAACAATTAGAAGAACTTCAAAAACTCAATAGAAATCAACAACAGCTTTAGCAAGACTAAGAAGTGGCCATATAAAAACCTTAAAATTTCAAAATGGACAAAAAAACCTTCAATAACCGCTTTAAATGCAATAGTACGGAAGCTTCTCCGGAGCATATATTTTCATGATCAGAACTGACAATAGATGAGCTTTTTTTCAGGCCTATAACTACCATCGCAAAATTGGAGAGGAGTGGACTTCAGGAAATGGTTTAACCATGAATATAAGCACCACCACCACCATATATAGAGTATTTATATTTTCACATTGTTCTAAAAATATGACGTATTTTATTATCAAACGTATAAAAATAAAAGATAAGTGGGTCAGGTGTTGATATTAAAAATAAAGAAGGCCTCTCCTGACCACGAGCACATGTTCTTTATTTTTAATATCAACACCTGACCCACTTATCTTTTATTTTTTCTATTGTTTTTTCATGTGTTAAGCGTCTTTACGCAAATTTGGCCTTAAATACCCATTTCTTGATTTCTCAGGAAGCCATTGGGTCCAAAAAATATTTTTGGTCGCAGAGTTACAGTCTACTCCACGCTGACGAGCGCCAACAGCGCGAAACGCGTTCGTGGATGACTTTTCTTGATTTATCAAGAAATTGGGTTGGCCAAATATCACGGAGCAAGCTAAATAAACGTTTAGTTTATTCTTGCTCCACTAGATGGCGCTCTGCCATCTAAAAAGCACATGTGCTCGTGGTCAGGAGATGCCTTCTTTATTTTTAATATCAACACCTGACCCACTTATCTTTTATTTTTTTCTGTTGTTTTTTTCATATATAAACATGTTTTTCAAACTATCTAGTCATCTAACCAATTTAGAATATTCTCACAAGATTCTAAGCGTTCTTTAGAAAAACGTGAGCGATATGAACTAAGGCATCTTACAGATATATATAGTAGACAATATACTAATCATTTTAGTGTATATTTACGACTGACCATACTAAAAGTCTACTAAGAAATGGTATTTCGAAATTTCTTATTACAAACGGTCAGATAGAAGCTTCATTGATAGAAGCTTTACTTTTACGCCTAACCATTAAAAAACGTCTAAATATGTAAAAATAGCTATGCAAAACACACACTATACACATAACACAATAAAGGTGTTCATTTGGTAACACATGGTGTGTGTGTATCGTAAATAGAAAAACATTTATCACAATAGAATTTTGAATAGTTAAAAATTAAAGGCAAAATAAATATATAGAGATTTTTCAAATTCTATTAGACAGTATAACCATATACGATGTTTTTGACAGAATATGGAGTTGAAACAATATGTTAATCATATTTTAGTACTGCTATAACATTCTATATTGTTACTCTTACAGTACTACCAAAGTTGATATTGAAGGGTTAACCAATGAGGAGCCAGAACTTTCTAATAACTTTCGAGCCTAGAAAACGCATAGGATTGGAAGCTGTTTTATTTATATTAAAAATTTCCCAGTAAATTAGTTTATAGTCTCACCTACAAATGACGCTCATATTTAATATTGTTTTTGTAGTATTCGAACTAACGTTTACTGCAGACCAGTCTTGTATATTTTTCTTATCAAAGGTGTCACATTTTTTGTTTTTGTTTTCAATATTCTCTAAGGGTATAAAGAAGGATTTCCCTTCTTTTTAAAGGCCTATATGTTTGAAATTATGACTAAGCACTATTAAGTTTATTTCAGTTATAGTCACTACCTTCATATTTGATATCAAGATATATAATGAAGCAACTTATTCGTCATTGCTTCCACGATCACCACCCTACTCGAATTCCAATCCAAAATGGAAGTATTGTGAGGTAAGATTAGGAAGTGAGATTAATTCTGAATTTACACACACAGAGCTTTATATATTCCATCAGCCTACCTTGATAAATCTCAAGATCCAACTGGAGAAATGACCATCTTGTAGGGTCCATCAAGTCGACTTTTAGTGACTATAAAAAAACAAATCTTCTTCAATTTGATCTAATAGTGACCTTCATCAATCTTCATCACAGCTCATTAAGTGACCCACCGGTATCTTCTCGACTCCTTCTAGGCAGCTCAAAAAGAATTAGCCTACAACGCTCCTAAGTGGTCACTCTTCCAAGTAATGACCGGGCTTGACGTTGTTAACTTCGGTGATCAGGTGAGAACTGGTGTTTTCAATGTAGTATGGCCGCAGGCCATTAGATATTTTGACTTTTAGCTTTATTCGAGAAAGATACAAGATAATAAGACCTAATTCAAATAAATTAATAGTGTGTGACGTTTCGGTAACAGCGTTTCTACCAACATCAGACAAAAAAAGGAGTTCAAGAAGTTTAGAAAGCACAACTTTCCTTTTTTTATCTGATGATGGTAACAACGTTGGCACAGAAATGTCACACACTATGAATTTATATTGATTAGGTTCCTATTTTCTTGTGTCGATAATCTATAGGCAAATTGTGCTTTATCGTTCATTCAAAACGTTTTTATTATGCTGAAGTTGAAAATATTTGAATGAATAATTATCAATGTATAAAGGCATATTCAAGCTATATAGGTGTTATAAAGCATTCTAAACATATTTAATAATTCAAAATACATTTAATGCGTTATAGGACGAGGAATCAAACAAAAATATATAGATTTGAGAGCCTCGTGTAGTTTTAAATGTCACCCCTCCCCCCTAACGATATAAATTTAGGAAGTTAATCAGTTTCAGTAGTTGATTCTTTGGGCACCAATTTGGTGAGATACAAGGGCATCTCTCCGAAATCTTCAGTCTCCAGACCCAAAAAGGCGTTAATCAAGTTCTTGAGACGCTGAAAAAAATCATTTTCAAGTTAAATCAAAATATAAAAATCAATAAAAGTGTTTAATAGAGATAGAGATCATTAATTTTAATATTTAATAACCACTTTTAACTAATACACACATTAACTAATACACACTATCTTGACACATTCACTGCCGATCACGCGTTAAAGCGTGACATCATTGAGGAACCAATCAAAGGCTCATGTATAACGAACTACGTCTGATTCTATTATTCTTCTCCTATTAGCTTTATATTTTAGACTTTATTTATTTCCATTCGCTTCAACTTCGTGTATTTACCAAACTTTCAAGCTATAACTCCTCATTAGATCAACTGGATTAACATATAACAATGCTTTGAATGTTGTTAATGAAGATTTATAATTTGTATATCTATGTTTAGTAGTAATGATATAATTTAAATATCCCGGGTAAATGTTGTTTTATCAGCTATACTTTAGTTATATAAAAGGCTGATAGGACCGGAAACTTGAGTTCATGTAATGTTGTGGATATGGCGTGTCTCTCCCAATCTCTCTATATATAAAAGTCAATTTCTGTCTGTCTGTCTGTTTCGCGATAAACTAAAAAACTACTGAACCAATTGGTACCAAATTTTGCATGTCGCTTTTTATAAACCTGAGGAAAAATTTCGGCTGCATTTTGATTAGTATTTTTGGCTATTTCTTTTTTTCATTTGAAGAACTTTTTTTTACGCGGACTAATCCGGAATGGAATGAATACCTAAATATGGCCATTTTTTAAAGCATCGGTGGTTCAGTGGTAGAATGCTCGCCTGCCACGCGGGCGGCCCGGGTTCGATTCCCGGCCGATGCATTTTTTTTTTTTTACAATTTTTAAAACTCATTTATAATGTTATGATGTACTAGAGCGCCATCTGTTATCAAATTATAAAACTATTTTAGTGGCGTATTATTCTTTTTAAAATAAAACAATTTCTACTGTCCTTACTGCGATGAAAAAATTATTAAAGGGAGGGCCTGGCTCATCAGTGGTGAACCCTCCCAGCGGTTTCGCCAGTTTAATCTACCATACCGCTGTTATATTGCATTTTTGGAACTTCCTTTTATAGGTGACCGTTGTAAGAATCTTGGAATGGGTATTTTAGAAGAACTATGGACATAAGCTTTTAGGACAGCAGAATTAAATATAATTATAAATATATAATATGCTTCGAGCAATCGCTCTTCCGCAAATATCAAATTGTGTCTTTTATTAGAACAATAATGTTATGATGTACTAGAGCGCCATCTGTTATCAAATTATAAAACTATTTTAGTGGCGTATTATTCTTTTTAAAATAAAACAATTTCTACTATCCTTACTGCGATGAAAAAATTATTAAAGGGAGGGCCTGGCTCATCAGTGGTGAACCCTCCCAGCGGTTTCGCCAGTTTAATCTACCATACCGCTGTTATATTGCATTTTTGGAACTTCCTTTTATAGGTGACCGTTGTAAGAATCTTGGAATGGGTATTTTAGAAGAACTATGGACATAAGCTTTTAGGACAGCAGAATTAAATATAATTATAAATATATAATATGCTTCGAGCAATCGCTCTTCCGCAAATATCAAATTGTGTCTTTTATTAGAACAATAATGTTATGATGTATACTAAAATAGTTTTATAATTTGAAAACTCATTTATATTATCTCCATCTCTATCTCTATACATATAAAAGTCAATTTCTGTCTGTCTGTCTGTCTGTTTCGCGATAAACTCAGAAACTACTGAACCAATTGGTACCAAATTTTGCATGTCGCTTTTTATAAACCTGAGGAAAATTTTCGGCTGCATTTTGATTAGTATTTTTGGCTATTTCTTTTTTTCATTTGAAGAACTTTTTTTTACGCGGACTAATCCGGAATGGAATGAATACCTAAATATGGCCATTTTTTAAAGCATCGGTGGTTCAGTGGTAGAATGCTCGCCTGCCACGCGGGCGGCCCGGGTTCGATTCCCGGCCGATGCATTTTTTTTTTACAATTTTTAAAACTCATTTATATTATCTCTCTCTATATATAATCTCTATCTCTCTATATATAAAAGTCAATTTCTGTCTGTCTGTTTCGCGATAAACTCAAAAACTACTGAACCAATTGGTACCAAATTTTGTATGTCGCTTTTTATAAACCTGAGGAAAATTTTCGGCTGCATTTTGATTAGTATTTTTGGCTATTTCTTTTTTTCATTTGAAGAACTTTTTTTTACATTTTTAACTTTTTTTATTAAAACTATATATTTTTAGTCAGAAAATGATGATGACGATATTGCTGTATCATGTTTGATTATTAGATACATAATTATATCGGGAAAAATTCCAAAAAGCAGAGACCACGGGTGAAACCAGTTCATTATTTTGTACGCAGGAACAAAATTCTAACAGAACAACATTCATTCGAGCAGAATGAATATTCGTAACGAATATTATTTGAATAAAAACATTTAATCGGGTAAAACCCGGGCGTTGCCCGGGTCATTCGTCTAGTTGTTAAATAAATGTAATGTTGTTGTTGTCGTGTCCATTGAAGAGCCTTAGATGTCTTTATGCATCTATATCACAGCAGTCGCAATGTCCTCAATCTTGGGTGAGTTCATGTAACAAAGATGATGGAGAAACTGATCCATATCGGATGGACTTCGATTTATTTAAAAAAGAAAGAAGATTAGTTTTTATTGATATCTTTTGAAGCATCGTTATTTTCTGATTCTGTATATTTGAAAACCCTCAAAATCTAATCGTGAAGATAATAAAAAAAGCACGAAGTAATTCATATTTTCAATTTAATTACTACTAGCAAGTATCTTTAGCTTAAAAAAACCCAGTATTCTATTCATTCTTATTTAATAACTGTCCTAGCCTTTATACCATGTTTCGGGCTTTAGCTCTCATCAGTATAAGGAGGGCTTCGATTTTGCTAAAAAGGTTTTTTTTCTTGGTGAAGTGACAAGATCGATTTTTCAGGCTAGATTATAATATGAGAATGCGAGAGAGGATAGTATGCATATACTTGTTCCTTTCAAAATCAAGTTGGCTAAAATACAACAAAAGACAAAATAGCCAAAACTGGTGTTGTGGCTCATTATTAATCACTACCATTATTCTTTGGAATAGGATAGTAAACCGAAATCCATTGTTTTGTTGTATTATTAAAAAGAGAGGTGCAAATTTCGGAACATTAATATAATTCTCATGGCAACTTAATATTGTTTATTTAATCGTAGAAACTTTCTCCTTGGAATATTAAAAATATAAAGGTTTGGTTAATAAAAAACATTTTCTCCTGGCACTTAACTTTATATTTTTAACTTAATATTGTATTACAACCCAAAAACAAGGTCTTTCCAAGTCATCAGCCTAAATACCTGTTTAGCCAATTCGATCTCTTTCCTATAGACTTCTCTTGTAGGGTATTATAAAATCGAAACCATCCCTTTCTTGATGAGGAACAAAGTCCGAAGCAATGGTATAACGGTTGGTTTAATGTGTCAATTTGACAAAACTGGCGCTATAGCTCAAACCTAACCAACACCATCAAACTTCTCCTGTGTGATTAACCCAAAAACACTAAAACAATATATTTGATTTAAAAATTCAGTACAAAACGTAAAAATGTAAAAGTAAAGTGTAAATCTAAAGGTTGTTACCTCATTATCAGTCTCCAATGCGTTCAATAGCCACTTGGAGTACTCAATGTTCAATTCCTGTGTTCAACCACACATTGTTTGATTGATTATCTCATTGTTATATCATTGTCTTACCTTGTATTTTTGAGGAGTCGCCATCTCCGGGTTGGGTTCTGTTAAATCAATCAATTCACAATAATATATTTTATTGTATTGTACGATAAGACCATTTAAACAATAATTGACATGTACAAATATATTGTGAAATTCTACAATATCGGCCAGTAGTATATGTAACTAAAATATTTGTAGATATATAAACCCAAATAGATTTTTAAAAAGTATCTCGATTATCAATATACAAACAAATCTAAACTACGAACAGACATTCTCGTGTGTTTCTCACTACTATAAACGATATTATAAATACTTGTGCTAAAGAAGATGATTAAAGCTAAAAAAATGAATAGGTTTCAAAATATTATCTATAGAATTCATAATAATTATACATAAAATCACAAAATATGGAAAGATCAATTCCAAATATTCAAATTTTATATGACGTTTAGGTAACATAGTTTTAATCAAAATGATACATTTCATTTAATTATTTCAAATTGTATTTAAATATATAGATGAAATATACAATTATAAATGTTATAGAATAATATGAAAGATTCGTTTTACAAGCAGGCTGTTAGCCACATATGTAGTTCAATAAAATATTC